CAGGGGCCCACTGCTGGCTGTTGCTGCACACTGTGGGGGTATGGCAGGTGTGAGGACATGTTGTAAGCCCCCCAGAACCCTCCTATGAACCCCCCCAGAAATCCTACACCCCCACAAACCCACTTACAAAGCCCACATCCACAAATCCCCTACAATCCATCCACAAACCTCACACCCCCAGCAACAAACCCCACCCCCACAAGCCCCCCACCTCCTTCCCCACTCACATACTCCACACCCATGAACCCCCCCCACAATCCAACCAGAATCCACACACCCCCAACCCCCCCACCCCATTTGGGGCCAGGAGGATACGTTTCAACAGTTCAAAGTGGGCCACTGCAACAAGCACATCTGAGCGATAGCTGCGCAGATGGCAAAGCAGGGGCACCAGAAGACATGACAGCAGTGCCATATGAAGGCCAGCTGTGCAGCCACAGCCCACTGGCAGCTGGTCCAGAGGTGCAGGCAGCTCTGCTGTAGTGCCCATACCACAGCCCAGATAGCCGTGCAGTACCCACCTGGGTCTGGCAGGCGTGTGGCCATGGGGCCGCATGTCCAAGGGCATGGATGCTGTCACAGGTGGCAGCAGGTCACAGCCAGGCAGCAGCCCCCACTGCCAGACTGCTGTAGTGGGTAGAGGGTACAGGGGCCACTCTAGGTGAGGGCTGCTACTGCAGTCCAACTGTCACAAGGGGTAGTGTCCCCAGAACCAACTGGCTGGGCCTCAGAAGTGTCTGAGGGCAACTAGCCCTGGGCTGCTCACTAGGGTAGCTTTTTATACTGCTAGGGCCAGCACAATAGCTAGAGCTAGAGCTCCCCCTGGCTGAAGATCTAGGAGAAGCTGGGCAGGGTCAGTTTGCCCCAAATGACACAATTTGCTCCACATCAAAGTGCATGGTCAAGCACATGTGCTGAGGTACACATCTCTGGCACAAATCTGTGCCGCTGCTATTTGAGCTTCTGCAAGTGCACATGCCTGCATGTGTGGATATGCCCTTAACTGGCAAATCATTAGAAACTGCATGGCACACAAGAGAAAGAAACAGAAAGCAGAAGTACAGTGTAGTTCTTCTGGTGTACTTTTTCCAGCTTGTACATAAATTTTTATGTAAATTTAAGGCTAATGAAATAGACCAATATCCCAACAGATGAAGTTCTGTGCTTGCCATTGAGGCTAAGGATAGACAGTCAAAAAACCTGAGGTGGAATCGATTCAGTCTTCGTAGATTAGTCTAAACTGTGCAGACTGAACCAATAAGCAAGTGAACAGACATTTACTTTTGTTTCCAGAAAAGCAGCCACATGCCTGCAGTGGCTTAGGCCAGAAGCTGGGGGGCACTAGCGCATGCCTCCCTGCTCAGCTAGAGCAGACAGCATGGGCCAAGGCTTGCCCCCCACCCCACCCCTGGGGTATCTGGAGGTTTGCAGGGGAAGGTGCAAAGCATTCTGGGATGCTAGGGAACTGTGAGTTAACTTAAATCTGCAAGGGATCTGGGACAGATGTTCAGTAAACCTATTTAACCAAATTCAGTTAAGTCTGATACTACATTCACCCATGTTTATCTTAAACTGGTTTCAGCCATTTTGAAAGCGGTTTATGCACACTTAACTTCTGCTGTGTTTCAGACTTCAGATCGGTTTCCAATCTCTTATACTGGTTTATATGTAACTTCCGTCCCTAGCTTGAATGTAGACAGCAGCAGCTGTTTTACCACTTGCCTTACCACTGTTTTGGTAAGGTGGTTTTAGAGGAAAAGGCCTGTTTACAGCTTTTATGGCTATTCAATCTTGGCTGTGATGGCTAATCAAGACTATTTATTGGTACCACTGGAACTGAACAGAGAACTCCAAACTTATTGTGCCCTGGCCACAAAAATTATCAGAGAATAATGACTTTGTTATTGTCAGTCTGGCTGGGTCTTCAGATGCTATTACAATATGAACTGCTACTACCAAGACCCAAGCTTGATTTAAGCCAACAGCCCAGAAGTAGAGGGTTCCATATTCTATTAACCAACTAATTTAGATTCCCAGATTATCCTTACAAATGGTAAACATTATATGGATTATTCAGATTTACACTGCAGACTTCTTGAGGCACAAACCTCTAGAATAGTACATATCTGAGTATCTTGATAAACAGTAAGCCTCTTGAATTAAAGACTCCTGGCTTTCTAGGGTTTTCCTTTTTATGGCGAATGTAGTTGTTGTGGTAAGAAGTTTCAAACTATATTTCTTATGAATTCTTGCAAATTCTTCAAATAGGTAAAATAACATTGATA